TTGCGTGAAAAAACGACCAAACCGCGAAAAAATCGAGAAAAATCTATAAAAAGGAAACAAATAAGACAAAAATTTTGCGAAAATATTTATTGTTGGGTTACGGTAGCACTCGTTTGCCGGCTGTGTTTTCGAAAATTCTCCTTAAAATACGGTGGCCTAACTTGTGTGGAAATTCGGCCACGACTCCAATTTTTTGCACAAGAATAATATTGTACCTTAAACCGAGTCCTCCTTCGTTTCCAGTGCATTGTAGGTAGATCAATATTCAATGGAATGTTATTCATACTCGAAGAAAGTGTGGGCATCACACACTCCTCTCCTCGAACGAATTGTCGAAGAAGGAAAGAAGCCACGTCGCATGATTCCCAATAAGATGCATGAAGAATATTGGGAAGAGCCGAAGATGGAAGAGCAACCATTGAGTTCGGGCAGTAGAGAAGATTGTCGATTCTTTTACTTCCCCACATTTGCGATGTATCGATTGAGGGTTCAAACTTTTGCGATTTTCCATCACCAAGTGGATATCTTTGATATCTGGAAGTTAATATGTTGGGTCAGAAGATCAGAATTATTAGGAAACCTTCCGGATTCAAAACTAATATCTACTAACTTTGGAACATTATAAGGTGGAACACAAGCCAATTGAGAATCCAGAACCGGCTCTATCCGAGCACCACATGGATCCAGTGGATAGTATAAATTGAAAAGTTGGCATGAATCCAAACTATCGATTTCTAGAAAATTGAATTTTATTTTTTTTTTCATAGTTTCGTTGTTTTTTTGTGTTCTTACCTGATCCTTCTAATTTTCTTTGCATCAAAGTCAATCCTAATGGACATCCAAGTAGGAATATAGTGCTTGGCTGGAAGTTGAGTCTCGATGCTCCGAACTGAAAACACTACGAAGGGTAAGAAAAATGACATCCCAAAATCGCGAATATACAAAAATCAGGGTACTGATATCAAAATCTTGCAGGATTCAAAATCAAAATGCATATAAAAAACTAAGGGGGAGGCAAAAGGATAATCATCATTGTCATCAACCGAATCGTTCACTCACACTGACAGAATCAACCGACACCAAAGAGATCTTCTTACGCACGTACGACGCCGATGGAGGTGCCGAATAATTACGAGCTGATCGACGAGAAGAATGTCCGTTTTGAAGAGACGAGTGATCTCGAACTGATTGATTGTGGGATTGAGGGCAAGAAGATATTGATGAAGTGTCGGTTACTGTTATATCGGTCATGGATTGGTGAGGAGATTGCTGAAATTGATATTCAGGCGACGGGTTTTATAAGAACCATCGCATTCAAAAAAAAATGTCGAAAAAAACTCACATCTTCCTTAATGATTCTTGAAGACACATTCGACGATAATCGCTTCAAAAAAGCCATAGAGTCACACTTCCTGGTCATGGCTTCATATAAAAAGATTCCTCCAACACAGTCCCCAACCACAAAAACCTCTCCATTGAACAATGGCTGAGATGCAATGAACTCATTATATGTCTCATTTGCTCTTCTGATCGTCCCTTCTACAGCTTCATTATACAGATGATTGGCTGATGGAAGCATCAATGATAACGATGGATGTAGTAATCCAAAACTTGAAGAAACATTGGTAAGCTTACTGACAACTTGAGTCATCTCGCATCCACAGGAAACATTCACAATGTGCAATCGATTCCTGAGTTGGGGATAATGACGTTGGACACATGTTTCAATGGTTGATCTGAAATCGTTTAGTTTTCAAAGAACGGTTTTCAGAATTCAATTACCCAAAAGTATTGGTGTCTGTAGTTTTGGAATCAGCTGGATTATCGGGAGAAAAATCTCCATGAAAAACCATAATGAGTAGTGCAGTGTCTGTTGAACCATTATGGGGAGTTAGAGGAGGAGAATCTGACAAGTTTGAAACAATTATTTCTCATCTTGGTCCCTAAAAACTTACTATCATCCTGGCCAATCTCTAATTCCAATTCACTACTCCATCTGATTATTGATGGTTTCTGTGTGGGAATCGGTGAAGTGTCACAGCAATCAAAATAAAGATCATCTGATACAGCATCACCATCGTCGTCATCTGATTCGTTCTCCTCGTTTTTTCCATCCTCATTCTCCTTCACAGCCATCACTTTACTCAAATGCAAAGCAGCTTCCGCTTCCAACTTCCGGATATCATTCATCGTGAGACCAGTCTACGAGAAAAACGATGAATCATAAACCAAAACACTAATATCAATCAAAAAACAAGAAAAAACTTCAAATCATCTATAAAATATCTGAATCCATACCCATTCATCTTGCCACGCCCACGCCTGTCGATGTGCTCTCATCATCGTGTTTCTCAGTGCCAAATCATGAATCCATCTCTCGGCTCTCGTTTGCATACCCCAGTATCGAAACTCGACTTTACATAATTTATACGCACACATAACGGACAATCCTTTCTTCCGATGATCTGTCACCCAATCGTCATTCAATGGTCCACGACCAGTCTTCTCGGAATGATAGATCTTGGGATCCTCTTCAGCACAGTAGTCATGGGATGAGATGGGATCTTTCACGAAATCCATGTAATCGATGATTCGAGTGGCTTTGTCTTTATCACTCAGACCGAATACATTCTCCTGTTCACCATGATCATCGAAGTAAAGAGTGTCCACTTCCAGACTGAATCGATCCATCATTGGAGTGGAGTATCGTGTTCTCGTCACCGGATACGCATTCCATGCTTCCTCGTGAGCTTCCAATGCATTTGTTGGCAGCACTGTCCGAATCCATGCTGAAATTTTTTTCAGAATATACAAGTTGTTTCTCTCCCACTTCATATCCGTTTTTCTCTCCTTTCAAGTAATTTGATATATTTTTGGAGACAAGATTCTAGAATCCATCACTAGCCGGCACAAAAAAAACCCGGAATAAATTCTGAATAATTCAAACTACTCGAGAGGAAAATCTCATCATCACCCTTACTTTCTTTCGTTATTTTTCAAATTTTATTTTAAAAAAAGAAGAAGAATCGTACCAGGAATACGACTTCCAATATGATAGATCTTGAAAGTATACTGTCCACTTCCGCCAGGACCATCCGTATATGGTTTATTGCTGATTATCTCAACTCCCGAGTCTTTGCCATGTGAATCCAGTCGGCTCTTCTTCTGAAATCAATCATCTTCTGGTTTTCAAATATGATTCTTGATTTTTTGAGTTCTTGAATTTGTAATGAAAGTTTTCGGGGACGTCATCTGAGGAATCTTATAAACCAAAAAAACCACAAGGGCGATAGAATGATTAATTTGATGAGCCTCAGAATAAATTCTTGATAAATGTGAGAATCCAGTGAATTTCTATTTGGAATTCATCCCCGAGAGAAAAAGTTAGTCCAAAGGAACTAGGTCAAAAATTACTAGAAATAAAATGAGTTAAAGTAGGGGGACATAGAAAAAAAAAACTAATTTTCTCAAAATTCAGTTCATATACACCCCTCGAGGAGAAAAAGGGCAAAAATCGTATTTTCATCCAGTGTTGTTTTTTCTATTCATTGAAATTCAGTTCGATAAAAATCAAACAAATGTATAGTTATATAGTCTCCTTGCAATCGTACAAAAACTACAAATTCAAACATCAAGTATAAGTTTCTGACCTACAAAAAACTAGTGCTCAGTGTCTGGATGATTCCAATCCCCGATTCTCTCTTTCTGAAAATAACATTTCTTCGACTTGTAATGCACAATTCTGTTTCACACTCGATTGCTCCTTCTCTTCCCTTTCTTTCTATTTCCATGTCTATTACAAGACTTTTAAAAGCTTTTTGTATGTTTCTCCATTCTACCACGTTTCTCGTGCACAATTTGTTGCCATTTGGGCTTCAATTAGTTTTACGTATTGGGGGCTTTTCCATAGGAATCTGCTCGAGACAGGAAGAGTGAACAAGTCAACGTTAGCAAAAGAAGAACAAACATCCTATGAAAGAAAAGGTACAGGTTTCAATGACAAGGTCACAAAGCACAGCGTTTGAGCATACAACATGCTCAAAGAACAGAAAGTTCGGAAATGATTGGGATCGGAAATGAAAGGATGAAAATGTTTGTGACTAGGTGAAAAAGGGATATGTCTGATATGAAATTTCTAGAAAGAGTACTGTATGGGAACTCGGAAAATGAAAAAAATTGTAACAGTATTCGGTTTTTCAACTTAAACTGAGACTGTTAAAACTTCAAACAGTTATAACAGGGCTGAGCAAAACGTTTTTGGGATTGAAATCGGAAAAATCTGGACGAAAACATTTCAGGAGCTCTGAAAATAGAGACTTTTCGGAACTGAAATGGTTTTGGGAAAAGAGTATGGGATTTATTTGAGAAAATCGAAAATGTTTCGAGAACCTTCCAGAAAATTTCAAAAGCTGGAGAAACTTTGAAAATACGTTTCTATTGTGAAAATTATTTCATTTTTACCTGGTATTTCAGCTGAAGCCCTGGTTTATAACTATTGAAGTTTGTGTTACCTATTTTCTAAAATGACTGTATAGGTATCACAAAAAAATTTCAAAGACACTATTAGATCGTAAAACAGGAATCGTTTTAGAATATCCCACATTTTTTTTAGAAATTTCGAAAATTCTGTAATTTCTTTTTTTTTCCTGGACTTAAATGTATATATAAACACAAGTGAACAAATGTTTCCATTCTATTACTAATGGAGAAAAATTGAACAACTGTTTCACAAAAAAGACCAAGAACATTAAAAAAAAAGGAAAACTGACCTGTATCATATACAACTGGGCGATGCGATACTCCTGTACCGTCATCGGCAACAGAATACGGTACTCTTTAATGAGCATCTCTCTTCTATTGAGTGTCTTGTCCGGAGACGGCAACAATCAACAACTTATTCTTATTCGTCGACGACACATTTTCAGCTAAAAAAGAAATGGTGACGCTATTGGGAGAGTGATGACAGGGAAAAAATAAAGAGAAAACGATAGACAATGAAGAGAAAGGGGCGGGAAATAGTGCATGTAACCTGCTGGAATAAAAAGAGGAAAAGAAAGAAAAAGGAGAATAAAAAAGAAGAAGATAGAGATGGAAAAAAGAGTGGAGGAAATAAAATGAATTGTAATTGGAATGATACGAATTTTTATAGGAACTATTTCATTGCTTCATTTTCACTCATTTATAGTTTCAGCAGTTAACTATGTGTGCACTTTTTGATCATCATATGAGTGCATTGTCATATGTGATTATTTGCGTTTTTTACGTTGCGAGAAGAGAAAGTGATAAGGAGAAAAGGAGATATGACAGGAGACAGAGAAGGAAAGAGTGTTTACTTCGAAGATCACTCTCGTTTTTTCTGGGGTCAATGATAACGATACAAGTTTTTAAAAATAAAAAGAAAGGTCAGAAGATGATACAGAATGATTCTAGTGGTTTCTGGTGTTTGAAGTGGTAAAATAGCGATTAGAAGAAGAAGCTCAGTTCGTGTCTAGACTGAAATTCTTTTTGAATTTCAAAAAAAAAGGATTGTAAATGAAAAATGAAACTCAAGTGCTCAAAGTGCCAAAAAATCGAATTCGATGAGAATTGAAAAAATTTGTACGAAAATTATAGGATTAGGAAATTGCAGCTTTACTTGGATATAATTATAGAGTATATCTGAATCCGGTTCCTTTTGGAAGAGTCAGACCAGGTGAAGAAGAAGGTCTATTTTTAAGATTTATAAAACTAGACGACTTATAGCTTTTTCCTGACGCAGAAAACGTACAACAGGCACTGACAGACAGGAGATTATAGAGGAAAACTTACTAATCGTGTGGACTAACACACAAAAAGAACAAGTTTAAAAAAAAACAGAATTGACATGTTATACACGCTATCGTCTCGGATTTCGTTTCGTTTTCGTTTGGCTTCCAAGGTTTCAGACTCATTGGATCCTTGCTCTGGTCTGAAAATGACTGAAAGAAGCACAGATATTATATAAATGAGACATCACTCTCGAACATGGTGATGTGTGGCGTGGCGTCCGAATAGAGGAGGAGACTCTTCTCTTTTCCTCTGTCTCTTCTGTATTAGTTCCTGCGTCTCGTCTTCCGCGCATCTCCCAGCAGCCATTCAGTCGATATGGCCAGGCAACTAGCGGTGGGCAGAAGAAGAAGAAGAAAAAGGGATGGAAGGATGTATATGTGTCTGCGTTTCGATACATCTTATAATATCTCGTTTCCGTCTCCCGTCAGCCGTGTCAAGACCTCATTAGCTATTAGGGATTTGGTGGAGCAGGACGGGAGGGAGGAGAAAGCCAAAAAGAGGCTGAAGAAGTTGAGAACCACGCCTTCTTTATCTCAGAAAAAAAGAAGCAAAGAAGAAATGGTTTTTTGAAGAAAGGAGACAAAAAAGGCATTCTATAATTTTGGGCTTTCTTTCCTTTTTTCTTCTTTTTTCCTCTTGAATAAACAAATCTAAAGAACAGAAAAAGTAAATTATAAAAGAAAAAAAGCTCAGTGGAATGGAGGAGCAGACGATATTCATAAAGCGCAAGTACTTAACTAAAACATCGAAAAACAGAAACACTTAAAATGTCTGAGAGGGCAAGTACAGTAGTCCCTAAGGAAAACATTTTTTGAGGAGGACCAAGAAGTTTTTAAGTACCCCGGGGGAGCGTACTCACTTTCAAAAATCATAAGTTAAATGATCAAAGTTTGAAAATGAGGGTCAAAGAAGGATTTTAAATACTTGAGTAAACTTCAAAGTTAGATATTTTCCATGGCTAATCAAAATGGGGTGAACAATAAGGATACTGTAAAACATGTAATATGGTCCCACACACTGTCAATTTTGAGCGCAATCATCTCAATTCCTATGCAAGATAACAAAAATGTTTCAACTGATAATGCACTTTTGATATTATGATAAACAATTCATCAGTTGACAACTTTTCCATATCTTTGACAGGAACCGAGAAAAATCGGCTTAGAGTTGGGAGTAATGGGGTCTTTCTAGTGCAGGTTTTTTGGTTTTATGCCCAATTTTTTTGGATGGGATGCTTGGATTCCTAGAAGTTGGTCGAGCAAACAGAACTACAAGATATGTCTTATTCGCACTTCCATTTGGAGTTATCTCAAAAACAAAAAAGTATTCTAGTCACCAAACAGCTCACATGACATTGCAACGGGGTGAAAAATTGAATTGGAGAGTGTCCGTCAGATGACGTGTGTAACTTCTTCTTTTTCCTCTTCTTCGTTTTTTCTTGAATTTCGAACCGATTTCCGTTAAGTTCGTTTCCAGATGTTCTCAATGTCTTTTGGAATATTTTATGAGCCGCCCGTCCCCACGATTTGAGAAAAAAGAAAGCGATGAAAAGAAGGAAAGATGGAAATCATAAAAACGCGGAGAGAGAAAAAAACGTTATCAGACATCAAAAACCGCTCATACGAATTCCTTTTTTCTGCTGCTGCTCCATCTTTCAAAAGATCTCCGTAATCTAGAGAAACAAGAATAAGATGCTTTGAGTGAAGAAAAAATAGAAAAGCAGATGTTAGGAAATATATAAATCTGAAATAAGATACAGCTGAACAAATGAGATTGAGGAGAAAGAAAATCGGATCTGTGGAAGAAAAATACCGGTGGCCGTGGCCGAAGGTCCCACAACAAAAATTACAGTAACCTAATAATATTTTTTAAAAATAAGAGAAAACCTGACGAAAAGCAGTGGAAATCGAGATAATAGGTTCGGGAAATGAAATATTTTTAGGTTACGGTAGTTTTCGTCATGAGACCTTCGACCACGGCCACCGGTGTTTCTCTTCCAGAGCTCCGTTTTCCTTGTACCAAAATAATAGAGCATCGAAATTTTTACCTCAAATCCCAAAAAAAACTAGCAACATAAATTCGTGTTTACTTGGAAAGAAAGAGAAGACATTATCGACTAAAACAAAAAAAAACAGGTGAAGGAATATAGAAATACTGGTTTTCACTCTTCAATACTATTTTAATCTACTGCAATTACTGAGGGATTTGTTTTTTGTTTATGGGTTATAACTAAATCGATTGATGTTTAAAAAAAACAGATCGCAAAATTTTTTTTAAAAATTGTAGTCGATTCTAGCGAATCAGTTGATGAGCAGTCTTAAATCAGCTTATTCGAATTCGAAGCGCTGAGCTTTTCATCTGAAATTTCGTATAGCTGTCCTTTTATTGATCTTTGCAATGTATTTATGAATAAGCAAAGTTTGAAAAAAACTTTGCCAGGGAGGGGAATCGAACCCCTAAAGGATATATATCCACAGATCCCCCGAACCTGCGCCTTTGCCAATGGGCCACCCCGGCGACAAGTTGTTTTAAGAGTAAACATCAACATAAACTAGTTTTGGGATGAGCAAGAGGTTACTGTAGTTCTCAAATTCGAAAAACAACAAGTAACTGTTGGTTTTCTTGGCTTTGTAGTCTGAACAATCGTTATGAAGGTTTATTAGAGTGAAAATAATATTTCAGAATGTTGAAAATATGGATAAATATATAAATAATTTCAGCGAGATCAGAGATTTATTCAGATGTCATTGCGAATGCAGGTGATTGAGTGGAAAGTTGTCCACGAATCGGGAGATACAATTTGAATTCTGCCGGTAATTCATCTTCGGTGTACAATCGATCGGCGAAGTAGACTCGACGGATGCGGCAGTTTGCATGAATCTGTAATCAAACTTTGCGAAAATTTCATGTGAACCGGTTCTTACCTGAATTCTGAGAGTCTCGACGTAGTTTGTTCCGTATGCGCGTTTAACGAAGTCGCTCAAATTGAACTGAATCTGATTCCATCCTTCGTCCATTCTCATTGGCATTGTGCAGATGAACGGCTGGAAAACATCAAACTAACGGAATTTGTGAAACATTAAAACTACCTTCACTCTTGTTGCGGACTGATAGTTCGACGCACGGAACCGTCGCTTGATTTTCTTGTCATCGATAATTTGAACTTCGAATGAAAAGTACTTGTTCATGTTTTTGACAACCATCACGAAGAATGGCAATTTGATTCCAAGTGTCTTCTCTGGATCGACTGGACAACTGATGAATGCGGTGCTGATGTTGTTTCCCATGATTTCGAGAACCAGAGATTGAATCTCTTCGTCGGTTATTCGTTTCACATGACCATTTTTTATCTGGAAAACGACGAAATTCATTGAAAGGAATGCTGATATTACAGCTTCAATGAAGCTCCACTCGAGGAAACGGAGCCACTTTATTCGTATTAGGCAGAAACGTTAGAAAAATTCAATATCTTCGAAAATGAGAAAAAATACTCACCTGAGTATCCCATATTTGTAATGGTTTGCTTCCGATACTGTAGAGAACAGAAAGGAGTCCACTTTGGAAAGTATTGTGAAACATTTCACCTGCAAATCGAAAAGGTGAAAACGAGAAGTTTAATGTGGAAAAGAGCAGTCCGGCGTGAAATGGGTCGAGGGCGGGAGCTGGTTGCCATGTCGACCAAAAGTAATGCACGAGAAGAAGGGAAGCCAACAACTCTTTTTTCTTAGAACTCTCTTACGATGTCATATTCTTTTTATTTACTAGATAAATTTATCAATGAATACGAAAATGGAAATTGGAATGTGCGGTTGAAGCTAACAGAAATTAGAGTTAAGAAAAGCGATTGGACAGAGTCGAGATACGGAAAAAGGAAGAGAATCATGGCAGGAAGCAGGCTTTATAAGAAAATTTATTTGAAGAAACAGTTCAATCTATTCAGCGTCTCCGTCGGTTCCATCGAGTTCTCCGTCCTCGTCGGCGGTTGCTTCTTGATACTGTTGGTACTCGGATACCAAATCGTTCATGTTGCTTTCGGCTTCAGTGAACTCCATCTCGTCCATTCCCTCGCCAGTATACCAGTGAAGGAAGGCTTTGCGACGGAACATAGCTGAAAAAGATAAATAAACAATGCAATGTACTTATTGTCGAATTAAAAAAAGTGGGACCTGAGTGCGGCAAAAACGTAATATTTCAGATTTTCGCCTCGTTCGAGCTACTTTCGCAATTAAGTTCGGTTTTTTGATGAAAAACAGATTCTAGAGATGCTATCGATCATTTTCACACCAAGAAATCTAAATTTTGTCCAGAAAATCCTACTAAATTCATAGAAATCAGTTTCGTTTACTACTGTAGTGATTTTTGAGCGAGGCCCCGTAAATCGATGCGGAAGCCGTCAAAAACTGAAAGAGGAGATAGATTTTTTTTCTGTAAAAAACTTTCAAAATGACCATTTTTTTCTTTCGGAAAACGACCATACATGAATCTAATTAATTGAATCTAATTAACTAAAAACCACTAATTAATTTTTAAAGAATCATTTGAATTATCTTCAATCTCCACAAAATCAGATAAAAAATTCTGAAATTTTGGTTTTAGACCTGCAATTGTGATCGCGCCAAACTTTTTTTCTGTAGATCAAAAATTAATTTGCAGTTCGGAATTGTTCTGTGGGGGAGCGGGAGGTGTAAGTTTGTTTAATTCGACAATACCAGTGAATTGTTCCGAGATTCTCTTGAACAACTCTTGAATTGCGGTGGAGTTTCCGATGAAAGTGGCCGACATCTTCAGTCCACGTGGTGGAATATCACAGACTGCAGTCTTGACATTGTTTGGAATCCACTCAACAAAGTATGCCGAATTCTTGTTCTGAACATTCATCATCTGATCATCGACTTCTCTCATTGACATGCGTCCACGGAACATGGCGGCAACGGTCAAATATCTTCCATGTCTTGGATCACATGCAGCCATCATATTCTTGGCATCGAACATCTGCTGGGTCAGCTCGGCAACAGTTAATGCACGATACGCCTGGGCTCCCTTGGCAGAAAGTGGAGCGAATCCGGGCATGAAGAAGTGAAGACGTGGGAATGGCACCATGTTGACAGCAAGCTTGCGAAGATCAGCATTTAACTGTCCAGGGAAACGGAGACATGTGGTCACTCCGGACATGGTAACAGACACTGGAATACATGAAAATTAGGTGCCGAAGGTATAACGATTGTTGTTACCAAGGTGATTTAGATCTCCATAAGTTGGGTTTGAAAGTTTGAGAGTTCTGAAGCAAATGTCATAAAGTGCTTCGTTGTCAATGCAGAAGGTTTCGTCGGTGTTCTCAACGAGCTGATGAACGGAGAGCGTGGCATTGTATGGCTCAACAACAGTATCCGACACCTGAAACATTCAATTTTTAATAAAAAATAGTTGGCTTGCTGAAAACTTGCTTTTGGAGATGGAACGACTGAGAATGAACTCATGATTCTATCTGGATACTCTTCACGGATTTTGGATATGAGAAGAGTTCCCATTCCAGAACCGGTACCTCCTCCAAGAGAGTGCGTCAACTGGAATCCTTGGAGACAGTCACATCCTTCGGCTTCTTTGCGGACTACGTCAAGAACGTTATCGACAAGTTCAGCTCCCTCGGTGTAGTGTCCCTTGGCCCAGTTGTTTCCCGCACCCGATTGTCCGAAAACGAAGTTGTCCGGACGGAAGAGTTGACCGAATGGTCCAGAGCGAACTGAGTCCATAGTTCCTGGCTCGAGATCGACAAGAACGGCACGAGGGACATATTTTCCTGCTGAAAACAAAACAAATTATTTATAAGTGCATTTTAACCCAGTTTTGAAATTTACGTTCTGAAAGAAAAATACCGAAATGTCGAAAAAATGTCAAATTTTTGTTTTTTCTCTGCGTCTCGAAACCTAACTTTTCGACTTCGACCGAGCGCACTTGCGAAACTTGTAATTTCTGGTAGGAGACCCCGAAAATTCCGAGGAAAAAAATTTTCCGGGAAAAAACCCCGAGAAAATTGGCAGAGTCAAGGGCGGAGCCTAATTTTCACCCCTGGCACAGTTTTGCCGCATGGTTTTTAGTGCATTTGGATACGGTCATGAGAAAAACCGTGCCAGGGTTGCAATTTAAACTCCGCCTACTGTTCCCGGGAAATTTTCCGGAAAAAAAGAAAAGTGTGAGGAGTCAGGAGTGGAGCCTAAATTGCAAGCAAAAACGTGCGCAGCTTGTGATTCATGCTCCGCCCACTTTTCCGGGAAGGTAAATTTTCCGAAAAATTCTTGTAACAGTACAAAAATGTTCCTCAGACTACTTCAGAATGATTTTATTCTGAAAAAAAGAGTTTACCGTTTGCCTCGTTGTAGTAGACATTGATGCGCTCGAGCTGCAAGTCACTCTCTCCATTGTAGGTTCCATCAGGTTGAATTCCGTGCTCGTCGGAAATCACTTCCCAAAATTTGGCTCCGATTTGATTACCACATTGTCCAGCTTGTACGTGTACGATTTCTCTCATGTTGAACAATGGAGATGGTTGGTTGAGATGGTTGGAACTGAAAGCGCAAAAAAAACTATGTAACCGGAGAAGAGTGCTTTAAAATGGGGTCGAAAAAAGGAGAAGAAGGTTCACGTAGGAAGGTAAACATGCATGGTGACAGGTGGAAACATAAATTCATTGAATTTTAAATTAAAATGTTTCACTGCGGCTGAATAGAGGCAAAAACTAGAAAACGACCGATTGGGGCTTCTGCTCGTTTTTGGAAAGAAAGCGAGCTTGACTGGCGGGGTCGTACTGAGGGACAAAATTGGCAGATGGCATTGGGAGGACGACGTTGGTTAAATTACTTTTGCACCGGCCCCAAAACAACGGCTTTTTGGTTAACTGAGAACTCATAAATCCTATGGAACAAGGAATAAAACAAGGAATTGAAAACTGTCAACTGAGGAATAAGGTCACAAAAAGCGGAGGGGACTCTCTCTTCCAATTCCCGTCAATTATACTCTCCGTCGTCGTCGTCGTTGTTGTCGTCTTCTCTTCTTCGTCCTCTCGGAATGCACTCGGAGACAAGACCCCAATTGCTTGTGGAGCACAACAAAAAGGATGAGAGAAGACTGGGGAGCCGAAGGGCGCCGAGCAGTGGAGCTCTGAATCGATTGTGACAACGCTCCCGTTTCGTTTCGAAGCAGAAAGAAAAAGATGGAAAAGGGCACCCGAATTTTGTTGACGAGGATGAGCAAAGGCGGAGATTGAGAGACAGAGAATGAGTTGGACAAAAGAAAGGACACGAGATCTTGATACGGGAATATGTCAAGATTTGGTAACTTTGATGTGTGTAAACTGAATGAATGGAAGAAGAGAAAGGGTATCTTGATCGGATAGAATAATATTCGAGTTAATATACTGGGTGGCAACAATGGTGGAGAACTGTGCATATGAGAGCTGCTACAAATGAGACATCGTAAAAAATAAGAACTGGTGGAATAAGCACTGCAACGAATGATAACTGTAATAACTGCTACAGATAAGAACTCAAAAAACTAGCTGAATATATTCTGAATACAGAGAGGTTTTCTCCAAAAAACTGGCTACTCTATGAAATCTAAACAGAGACTAACACACTCGGATATCGAAATTAGAATTTGAACAGAATGGCAAACGGAGCAACGTTTTCGATGGTGTCGTGTGTCTTCTCGGCAATTGGATTACCATCGAACACATTGGATAGAAAGAAGAAGGAGCGGAAATGGAAGACATGATGATACCGAGACAACCTCTTCAGAGACTCTTCCAAATGATGGGTCATCTGGTGATGTGCCTCAATAAGGGTTTAAACACCGTATCGCGGATGGGAACCTCTATTTGAAATTTGGCACTGAGCCAACTTTCACCACTTACTATTAAGATGCTTTCATTCGGTTTTTCAAAAAACGTTTTGAAAATTCAAAAACTATCACACAGCCAAATCTTGCGACAAAGCACACTTTCGTACCGTTCTTGACGCCGTGAGGAAAAGTTCTAGATTGACTTCAGAAAACAGCGGACTCTTTTCTTTTGTTTTTAAGATTCAGGTCCCTTTGGTCAAGCTACAAAAACAAGGTCATAAAATTCTAACCAAATGAAAAAAGAAATGAAATGAAAAAATTGCTGGAGTGTTGCGAAAGAAGAGGAGAAGAAAAGAAAGAATGGGCATCTGGACCATCTGTCATCATCCCCCCACGATAGCTTTTCTCCGCCCCTCCTCCTTTTTTCGTTTTCCAATTATTCAGAGCACTCTCCATTTCGGTTGAAAAGAGAAAGAAGCAGAAGAAGGGATGGGGTCATTCCGGAATAGTCATTGTTTAATTAGAGTGCCTTCATAAAACCGAATTGGACAGACGAGAAACAGACGGCCTCTTTTATGGACCTCTTTTGGCTCTATTTTCCAGTGGATATATTCTAGTGAAATGATGAAGAATACATTGTATTATTGAGAAAAAATAAGTAAAGAGAAATATAAATCGATTAAAAATTTAAAAAAAAATCACAAATTTCATACATAGGACCAGTAGCTAGCAATATCTAGAAGTGAAAGTGAGATGGGAGTAAATATTTAGATTTATGCATTTACAGTAGGTGATATTTTAATGTAGTTAGATGGCAGCTGACTCGTATCCAGATTCCCCGCTTGCGATAGATGGATTTTCGATCTGAAAATTAATTGTTTTGTTTTAGCTCATTTACAGTAATCACTCTAATAGAAGGTTACCTATCCTTATACTTTAAGATCAATTATCTCGGATATTTATTTATTTATTTCAACGAAGGGGAGAAAACCACTAACACGGGAAATGTCTATGAAACTAGGAGATATAACAGGGACATACATTTGTTTTAAATGGGAGATGGAGGAAAAACCGAGTTAGTAATTAGTTGAATTCGAGACAAGAAAATGTTTTAGATCACAGGATAATAGCCGATTTTTGAAAGCCGCTGACGAGGGCTTCACCGGAAACACTTTGGCGGGTAAAGAGTTCCAACATCTGATTACTCTATTAGAGAGAAATTGAGAAGATATTTTTGTTGAGTTTTTGATAAGTGATTTGAAATAGTATTTGTGACGTCGCCATGATCCAGCATGATTAAATATTTCGAAAATTGGAACCTCTATGATAATTTCTTTGGAAACAATAATTTTATACGTGTAGACCAAATCATTATAGAGCCTGCGATACTCCAAGGAACTTAGCTGACATTCTTCCAGTGCTTCAAAGTATGAAGTGTATGCCATCCTGAATTTTTTGAAAATTCTGAAAACAAATGACTTTTGCACCGATTCCAATTTTATAATATGATCCTTTAGGATTGGAGAAGTGACTATCGTTCCATATTCAAGTAAAGGGCGTATGTAAATTGTATAGCATTTTATAAAAACACTCCACGATGCGTTTTTTAGAATGGAAAAGAACATGTTGATCCTCTGATGTGATTTCCGAATAATCAACGAATAATGATAATGGAAACTCAGGTTACTGGAAAAGTAGATCCCAATATCACGGACATTTTCCACAGGGGGAATCAAAGCTTGATTTAATTTGGGATTCATAACATTGGAGTTGGCATATTTTCTTGTTGCATTGAATTTGATGTATTCACACTTTTTAGGAGCCGCTTTCATTTTCCACTTCGAGCACCAATTCTCCAATTCAATTAAAACTGCATCAATCATACGATAAGAGGTATCGAAAATCTGCGAACTAATAAAATGTTGGTGGCATTATGATAAAAAGTTTATCATTTGACTAATTTTTGATAACATTTACAAGAACCGAGATAGTTGAGCTCAAAGTGCAAGTAAAGGGCTCAGTTCTATTAGAGTGTTTACGGTATGTACTACTCCAGAATTGTTGTTTGAAATGATTCATGCAAATTCTTAGAATTTTGCAATTTTGGACTCATTATCTATTTATTTTCTCTTTGGTCATTTCGTGAGTCACTCAGTTTCGAAAAAAAATTAACAGTTTGTGAATCAACGCCTTATAGAACAAATAAACTGTTTCAGACATACTGTCCCCACATCGCTTACCGAGTCATTTCTGACGTAAGGACGATGGCATCCCTTGCGAAGTTCTTCGAGGTCCTTCCACGTGCCTACACTACATTCTGATCCAGAGCTTCCGAAATTAATTGAAACGGAATCCGTGACCGAATTGGGTGATGCAGATCTTGTGGGAGGAAGGTTTGGGCGATCGACTGGCTGATATTCCTGTCCATTGTCCCTGGCTTCTCCTCCGATGCACTGACGGATAGTGTTCCAGACTCGATGGAATAGATTCATGACTGAAAATTGAAATTGACAGGAAAAATTGAATTATTTGAAAAAAGGCAACGCGAGAATAGAAAAACTATGAGGTCAACAAACATATGAACACATTTCACAATACATATCGAAACATATGTTCGAAGAAAGAAAGAAAATCTTGAAGGTTGGCAAATTGTTTCGAGAGTCTAATCGCATATCTAATAGAATAAAATGCTTGATACGGCAACAGAAAAAAAATGAAGAAGCGACATTGAACTCAGTCTTATCAGCTGATTCTGATTAACATTGGAACGGGGTGGCACCAGAGTGTGGAAACGAAAAAAAACTAGGGAAAATTATTTTTAGTGATTAGGGCGAACTAAAATGAAATGGCTGGAATGTGTTCTGATTATATATCATTGGAGGATTTCAAAATTAAGTCTTAGCAATATGCTGAAACAAGGTGTAGTCTGTTTGGAAATCGCCTACGATAGAGGAAAGAAGCGAAACGAAACGGTTGTTTGTATTCCAGCAACAATGAGCAAAACAATGACAATTCGAAAGTTGATTCATATGAATAATGGTTTTGAATTAGTTCCTTGAGGGAAATTTTGCTGAAACCAACAGTTCTACAAAGAAGTGACGTCTCAAAATGATCAGTTTTTCCTTTCCCAAAAAAGGAAACTGTCTGATAACATACACCTCTTTGACTTTCTAATTCTTCTCCTTTTATGTACTCTTTTCTTTCCAACTTCATAGTTTTCCCGCTTTTCCTTCTGATAAAATATGAAAAAAGGAGAAAAATAGTTCATACGAAAACCGAAGTATCTACAAAAAGAAAAGAAGAAGAACTCAGCGAGAAATTCAAATTTTTACAGACAAAGCTTTTCATCTCGACTAAAAGAAACTCAACTGAAAAAAATCAGCTAGAAAACGATGGATTGTGTGCCAAGTTTTGTTCAAAAAACACGAGGTAAATAAGAAGAAGAAAACAGCTGTTTCACAGCACTTTTTCTTACTTTCTGGTTCTTCTTTTTTGTCTAATGACCGCTTTGTCACGTCACTCATGCATCCTCTTTTCTTTTAGAAAACACTTGCTGTTCCGGAAAAATTGCAAAATTTCTTGGATGTGATCTCACAGAGCCAACAGTAATTTAGGAGGATCTGAGGAAGATACAAACAGAAAAATAGGTACAGTTGAATCTTGCGGTTTTAGGGTTTTCCTATTGAATGAGCGATGGATGACCCTAAATTGAACGAGCTTTTTTGATTGACATTTTCGGTTTCCTTAAGAATCATGTTCCTTTTTTGATTTATTGAAGCAAAGACAAAAATAGCATTGCTACCGTAATATCACAATATTTTCTGATTTTTCCAGACAGAGACACTGAGCCTCGGTGAACTCTTCAAACATTGCCATAAAAGCTACAACTTACATGACTCTGTCATTTCAGGGTTATATGGTATCTTGTAGTAGAATGTGCTTTCCGGGACCACCGTTTTGTTTTGTTAAAATTATTTTCTCAACACAAAAAATACATATATCGTGAAAAATATTGAAAATCAAAAAAGTTCTACAGAAAAATCTAAAAAATTGATTTGGCAAGATTTTTAGAGACCGTATGCAAGAAAATAACCACGATTTTTTTCACAAACTTTCAGACTCTCAGAAAACTATTTTCCAGACCCCAAACAACGGTCTTCCACTGTCAGTTTCATATGGCTGCCTACAAAATTAGAGAAAATTGATTTTTGATTGAAGGTTATCAATTTTCCAATGAAGAAATTCTTGAGAACGTCATCTGATTTGGAGTCGTTCTGACCTGAAGGAGTTCAGTTTGCACCATAACGTCATTTAAAAAGAGAAAAACAAAAAATCCAGGTTACATCATTAATTGAGATAAAATTATTTTCCAGTACTCATTTGTCCAGATTTATGTTCTAACTTTTTCCAGTTCTATAAAAAGTTTGATCCAGATCAGAGATCCACGATCAGCAAAACTTTTCTGTTCGGACAGCGGAAAGCGGACAACAGACAACGGAAATTTTTTCAAACCCAACGAGTATTTCCGGAAAAAATGACGCAGATGAGAACTTATCGAAAATAGCGATGGACAAGAAAACAGAGCTCATCTCACGCTATTTCAAAGAACCTGGTCGTAAAAAGGCGCCCCAGCGAACGTGAAAAATCACTGCGCAACGTGTCAAATTTCGTTGGCTGAGGATCAAACTTTTAAACGATGAGCAAAAAAATCGCGAGTTGCAATGCGTTGATTAAAAATAATTAGGTCAAACCCACGTCAACTTTGAAATTATTAAAATTCGTTTGAAGTAAGTTATCTGGGGCGCGTTTTTCGAACCGTTGCTTTGAAACAGTGTGCCTTATCGACAAATGATTTGTCGACAAACGCCCTTTTCGACAAATTTATCGACAAATTTACCGGTAAATTTATCGGAAAATTACCGACAAATTGTCGATAAAAACAACATTTATCGACAATTTGTCGATAAATTTGTCGATAAAAATGCTGTTTGTCGACAATTTATCGACAAATTTATCGACAAATTGTCGACAAAAATTGCTATTAACCGCAGGAATTACTTGTAAAAAATCGTATCGTTACCATTTTTTCCTAGGACTTCTAGAATGATGGAAGAACTTACCCAGGCAAACTTCATAGGCTATCTGGCTTGGTGGCCCCACTTTCACAACATGAATTTTCTAGGCCACGATTATTTTTAGCCTAGAAATGATCTGATGTTCACCTGGTGTGTTTTTAGGTGTGTTTTTAGGTCAACATGGTGGCCTAACTTTCGCGCGGTGTGTTTTCTAGACCACCATGTAAAAATGGCCAGAAAACATACCAGATGGATATCTGACCATTTCTAGGCCAAAAAAAGTTGGTGGCCTAGAAAACTCAACTTACTAAAGTTAAGCCACCATGTTAAAATGGCTCAGAAAACGTACCATGTTAACATCAGATCATTTTCAGGTCAAAAAGTTTGGTGGCCTAGAAAATTCATGTTGGAAAAATTAGACCACCAGGTCAGATGGCCTAGAAAAAAAAGATGAGATACGATTTTTTACAAGTAATTCCGGCGGTCAATGGCAATTTTTGTCGATAATTTGTCGACAAATGCCCCCTTCGACAAATTTATCGACAAAAAAAAACAACAAATTTATCGACAATTTGTCAACAAAATTTTGTCGATAAATTTGTCGATAAATTACTTTCGACAAATTTACCGATAATTTGTCGACAATTTATCGACAAAAAATTATCGTTTTTTATCGAAAAATTTATCGATAATGGTAAATTTGTCGACAAAATCGGAAAATTTTTGTCGATAAGGCACACTGCTTTGAAATACCGTGTCAACAACCATTTTTAAGTGCCTCAGGAGAAAATTTCGATTTCAATGTTTCTGGTCAACTGAAGGACCAGACAATTTCTACAGACAACGGACAACGGATTATCCGTGCAACTTTGATCAAGATCCATCTTCCCTTTTTATAAACTCGCACCTCCGAAAAGTTTGTTCCACGCCTCCATTTCAAGTTCAGCCAACTATCAACGAAATTATGATTGCCAGATACCAACTTCAGAAACAACTAGAATTCCTTTAACCGAATCGAAGAAACCATGCAGAAGACAAGAAGAACACCTCGGAGAAACAACAAAAGCACAGAAGACACCTCGGAGAAACAAACGCCGAAGACAAACCACGCCCCCCCCCCCCCAAAAAAAAAAAAAAAAGTAAAGAAACGGTAAAGAAACAAGGAAAAAGAAGTTCTAACATCCAAAGAAGCGGTGGAGTGTGACGAATTGATCCGATCCATAGTCTCTCACTGATTTATCCGTAGTTGGTCCGTAGTCTTCCACTGAAAAATATTAAAATAGTTTAAAACAAATTTTCATGTTCTTTACCTTATCAGATTTGTACCAATCCTTTCAGGACGTTGTGTGGGCGTCGCAGCTATTGAATTGTAGCTATAAATAAAAATATTAGATGAAAGTTTTAGGAAATTGAAAATCATCAAGGTTTTTTTCTATCTATCAGAAAAAGTTTAATTCGATAAAAGTCATTAAAAGAGGTTTCCGAAAAGCACTGGGATTCACAAATATCAAAAATCCCTGAAAATTTTAAAAAAGGAAGTTTGGCGCTATGGGAGTTGAAAGATGCCACCCATTTTTAGATTTTTATATTATTATTTTCTTCTTTGTTGCTTCACAGGTGATTCGCGAACAAACCGTTACGGATTGCTCAGCGTTCGCGCGCGGTTGAAATAGGAACCGTATACGGACCGCACGCGACCCATTTTCAGAAAACCACAGCACATTATTTCGTATTTCTTCGTATTCTATCCGTTTGCGAACTCCGTATCCGATCCGATTGCGAATGATAAACAAACGGATCCGTTCGCGAACTTAAACTTTTGTCTGAGAAATACCATATAATGTGCTGTGGTTTTCTGAAAAAGGGTCGCGTGCGGTCCGNANNCGGTTCNTATTTCANCNGNGNNNNAACGCTGAGCGTCCGTAACGGATCCGTTTGCATTTTACCTGTGTTCTCAAATATCCTCATGTTAGTCTGGAACACCTCGTCTTCCTTACACTGGGTGTCCCAAAATTTATCGCTAAATTCCAAATGTTCAGTGCCACCTCTTCCCCCAAAATATAAAATGTAAAATCCCGTTTACTTTACCTCCAATCAGCAATTCCCAACATATCGTTTCGAATCCTGCCAATCCTAGAAGTTGTCTTTGAAGCCGTAATTGCTCCTCGCAGCTGCTCCTCAATGCCAGGTAGCCGGGATCCCGGAATCCGGAAACATCCTGCAACTTGAACGTTGTAAACTAAGTACTGATTTTTCCATATCCTTCCAGGTCATAGATTTTGCCCTTATCTACCCAGGTTTTCACGGAGGTCAACAAATATTTTCCAAATTATCGTCTTTAAATTAGAAGGGGCACGCAAAAAAAAAACAACTGTTCCGTTCGTAATCCAGAGACTTTGAGGAAACCTTGAAATAAGATGCATCTTTCTAAGTCATTTTCTTGAAAAAACCATCTGGCAAAGTTCAGAAGAAAAAGTTGTAGTTTATGGTTTATTGATGAAGGTATTCAAAATTCTCTTAGTTTTCTATCTTTTGGATTATGACGACGAACCAGTCTAAATCAGAGGACATATGATGAGAACTGACGTTCTTTTGCCTTTTGAAGCAATTTTTGAGGTTCTTGCCTCTGCTGATACCATCCGATTTCTGATTTTTGATCCTGGAGTTGGAAAGTCTATATTCGATAATTTAGAAACTTCCAATCTTTTCAGAAAATGTAATGCACATTTTTGGTACTTTGAAACTTTTAATAAAAGGATTGTGTATGGCTATGCTCTGCTCATTATTTGGGAGAAGCCATTTGTCATCTATTTTCGCATTGGAGGTGTTTGTAGTTTTCTATTCCCATTTGTTTTTGAAGCCTTTTCGAATGGTTTGTGAGAGATGTGAGATATTTTTTATAGTTTTAATTTCATTGAAAAACAGATTACAAACACAGTTTTATCAATAATTTGTGGTTTCATGATACTGACGCAACTGGAAGATTTATTGTTTTCTCTTTAAAAATAGAAGAGAAAAAACAGATTAAATAAATCTTTCAAGAAGTTCACAGGATACGGTAGTTGTTGAGGCAGACACACTTGTTATAACGATCACAGACTCCCTGAAAAAGTATACAAATTTAAAATTCAGAATAATCATCAAGTTTTCTCATTACCAAAACAGGAGAGCACATCTGAGAGCACATCATCTTGCATTTTGCACGGAACACAAATGAAGATGGCTTGAAGAGAGAATTCTGAACTTCTGATGGGAAGGAGGCTTCAGATTCAGAAGACGTGGCGAGAACAATGAGAAGGACCAAGAAGAAGCAGTTCATGATGGCTGGAAATGGTTGAATGAGAATCGGAGGAGTCGAAATGCTCAAAAATCACTTTCCGCAAGTTGAAAAATGACAGGAGGAGAGAAAAATAGAAGACATGTCGGATGAAAATAAGAATGTATCTCCAAATGAAAGTATAAGTATAATCAAGAGAATTTATAATTGTGTGGTCGGAAGTTGTACGGCTTCCTACACTTTCTTTTCTTATTAAAAAGTATGACATATCGGTAGAGAATGAAAAGGTTTGAAAGAGTAACAGAACGAATAATAACGTTACCTGTATTTTCTGATCAAAACTAATCAAAACTTTCTCACAGTGGGAGAAAGGAAATGGAAAATCAAGATTCTGGAAGAATGAATAAGAGAACGAAAAATAAAATAAAAGTAGGCGGTTGGAGAATGAGAAATGAAATAGGAATGAGTGACGGGATCTAGTCATAAAACCTTTCTTTCTTTTGAGACGAAGAAAAGAGGTGGAGCGTGTCTTAGGGATATCTCGGGCTTTTATATTAAGTAAGTTGACCTTTTTATCGCTAGTCTTCTAGATTTTTTATGGGTGTGAGGATTAGTCTACTTACCTCATCGGGGTTCTAAGACGAAATTAAATGAATTTAGAAAGAAGTGCTGGGTCTAACGATATGCTTTACAGATTGTCTAGAAATTCAGAATGGTAAAAATAATTTCATTATTTCAAATTGGTCAAGATTCTTTTTAATTTTCAAATTGTTAAAAAACAAATGAACTCTCGAAATTCGGAAAAATTCAAAACTGCCAGAACTTTATTATTCTGGTACGAAAAAAACGGAGCCATAGTCAGGAAACGCCGGTAGCCGTATTCAAGGTCCCAAAACGAACTACAGTAACCTAAAACATTTTTATTTTCAGGATTTAGTTTTCTCGATTTTTGTTCGTTGAGTAATTTATACCAGACGGTTTACGCCCCTTCGGGACTAAACTGTCTCGCTCCCGCTTACAATACCCGAAATCAAATGGAAAAGATTCTGACTCTTTTGAAATATAAGCTATGAAACTGTGATGAAACGAAAACAACATCCGAAAGAAAACTTCTGAAATTCCCAATTCTCACCCTTATTTTCTCAAATTTCAAACTGATATTCTCATATTCTTAATTTCGGAAATTCGAAAACACTAATATTTTTGGAACTCGAAGACCGGATTTTAGAAAAACCGAAATTTTTTTAAACACAATTTTTTGAAATTCATAATCTCAACACTTTATATTTTGCCGAATTCGTAAATTCAGAAAAATTGAGGTTCAAATTCACAGTCTAGAAAATTCAATCCTACCCCCATATTCAGAATTTAGGGATTCGAAAAATTGCAAATTCTGGATTCAAAGATTTTCAATCTCCCAAATTTTTTACTCTCAATTTGTCAACCTCTCATTTTCTGAAGTTCTGATTGACTGAATTTCTGAATTATCAAACTTTTGAATTAAACAATTCCCGAATTTCCTTTTTTAATTTCCAAAACTCAAAGTTCAGAGATTTGAATTTCGAAATTCAGAAATTCAAAACTCGCATTTTCAAAATTTGAAGTGCAGACGGTCTAGACATTGCAGAAACTACAGAACCGAATTTTAAAAATCGCATTTTATATAGATCAGAATATTCAAGTTAAAACCCTGAAAATTAAAGTAATTCATTAAGTTCTCTCATTTTTTCCCGGAGAGATCATTCTCATTTTTATCGCTGTTTCAGAATTTTTTCTCCCTTCAAACTTCAAAACCCATACTGAAAATCTATTTTCCCAAACACTCATTCTTTTCAAAAATAACGTAGATAAGTTCAAAAAACTGGGAGGCTATACGGAAACGACGTGAATATTGATTCAATAACTTTCTCAAGAGTTGCACTGTAGAAATAGAAGAACGTCTCCAGAAGACGTCAGAAAAAAAATTTCGAAAGTAGAAAAGTCCGGGCATAAACTAAGACGCACTTCTGAGCTATCTGTCCAGATGCGAGCAAAATCGGTTAAACTTGAGTGGGTGTAACGCCACGCGACATACATCCTCACATACAGAATTTGGTGAATGTTATTAGTAATTATATAAAACATCCCGAAACCATTTTTATAACCGATCAGAATTCCTACACCCAAATTTTTTAGAATATACCAGAAAATCCGACAAAACGCAGAAAATAATACCTCAAAAAATATTTTTTAGGTAGCTGTCGTTGTGGGACCTTCGGCCACGGCCAACGGTGTTACTCTTCTACAGTTTTCGATTTCTTTCTCTATTTTTCAGTTATTCCGCTTTTTCACATTTTCTGATTCAAAATTAAAGAATTCTCGTTGTTTTTCTTCTTAAATTAATGCAAATGTGAAAATAATGAAATCCTCTATATTTTCTGAAATAAAACATAACCCATTTTATAATAAAAAATTCCATGAAATTTATGCAAACAGTAATTAGGAAAGTCTGTATATTTCTACCCACTTTGTTTTTTTTCATTTTCTAAGTTCAAAATGATTCTTAAAAGATTTGAAGAAGAATGGCATCATAAAGATACCAAAATTCAAGATTTCAAGAACAAACTAAACAAAACCGATTTAGAATATTTCTGTTGTGTCAGCTGATAACACGAGCAGGAGAATAAAAACAGAAGATACAATTGGACAAAGAATACAATTTTTCCGATATCTGGAAATTTCAAGGCAATTCTCAAAAAGATTTGATTTCTATGTTCTCCTCAAACTAGGTATAATTACATATACTTTTATACCTATAGTAATCCAGCACACTATTCAAAACAACTTAGTTTCATTGTTCAGAAATCTAGACTGTTCTGGACTTATCCACCCACTCTGAAGTTTTCTCAAAATAGCAACTTTTACGTATTCAGAAGCACATCTAAATAAAGACACTGATCACTGGTTCCTTTAGATTGTTGAATGTACTCAGAAAATGATTATAAATTCAAAACATGACGATGGGTTTTAATAAACTGAATATTTAGGAATATTTCGAGAACAGTCATTGATAAGAAGAATAAGAAAAAAAAAAGAAGATGTTAGGTTTATAGAAAATTTATCTCTGCATAAAAATATGAATAATAAAGATTTGTGGGAGAGGAGAAGTTTATTTTCGTAGAAAGTAGACGTGCAATAGAATGGGAAATCATAATAAAAAAAAGAAAATAAATCCTCATGGAAACGATGAAAAGAAGATCAAAGAGTATTCTTTTGTTATACTTGCACTTGGGTTCTTATTGAATTTATCTTTTGAATTGATTCTTTAGGTGAATAGAAATATCAAGCTGGATTGATAATCCTGAGAAGATCAGTCACGATATTATACTTTTATAAGTTAAAGACGCTGCGGAGGAGGAAAGCTTGTAGGCGTGGCCAACGGTTCCCATATCGAGAAATACCCTAACCTAAAATTTCCGGTACTTTTTTTCTTGATAACTATTGCTTTTCCATAATTTTTGTGTTGAAAACCTCCAAATAAGTCGAAAAATAAAATTTTTCTAATTCTGAAACATTTCTGGACAACAGTTGAAAATCGAGAAGAAAAGTAAGGAAAAAAATAACTCGCTAATTACGGTAGTTCGACAGCAAACTACAAAAGTCAGTAGAAATATAAATATAACAATCAGTCATCGGATCGGAAAAATCCAAAAATGGAGAACGCTTGTACAGAATCCCAAAGTCAAAAAACAAAGATTTCCCATCATGTCTTCGGGTCCAGAAAATAACAAGAACGTCAATCACCCGGAAAGAATATCTAAGTTTTGTTGCATTTATTGAAGAATAATGCCTCATAATAAATCTTCTGTTCCCATTGAATAGTTGTTATGTAAAAAAAACATTTTGAGGAACGGAGACGCCTGATAAAAAGTCTAATTCCATCTGTTCGAGGTCCAAAGCCGTCTGGTTAAAGAAATAATACGCTTGTTTCAAAAAGAAGTGAAGAGTATAAAGTTCAGAATCTTTCTGAGCTGAATCACTAAAAAAGATTTTTACAAACCCGGCAACATGCCATTGAAAACAACAAGAAAAATCATTTTCGACACAATTATATTTTTGCAGATACAAGAAATCAAACATTTTTCATGAATACTAAAGACTTTTAGTCTATTAGGCTGAACAGAAAGTTTCTTCCTTTTTTACAGGGCTGTTTTTGAGGCTCCATTTCTGGTTCTAGAAGAGGTGCACCGGGCAAAACTTTTTTTGTTGGAGAGCTGTGCTCAGTGTCTATTAGATCGTAAATTTGTTAATTTTTGTCCCACTTCGTGTTGGAGAAATGACGATTCTTTTGGTCCTTATCCGACTGCACATTCGCAACATGATTATATTTTTTTTATTTGGTTTTCAAACGCCTAATATTCGCAAGAAAATTGTGAATGTATGTAAGGGACATGTTCGGTCATCACCTATAATTTATGTTTGGTTCGAAAAATTCCACCCGGGGGAGTTTATTTTGAAAGATGGCAACGACCTAGTGAGTTGGATCTCGATCAATTGCTAAAAGTCGTGAAGACGGATCTAATTCGGCTCCGCGTCACTTCGAAACCAGTTTAAAACCGTGGTAATGCAGGCGAATGGATACATTTCGGACCACAAAAACAACTTTAGGGTTTTCAAATATGCTTTTTCTGATCTGATAGAACACATTCTGAAAATCGGAAAATTTAAGAATTTTTTGACTTTTGAGAGCATCAAATTTTGGATTTTTTCGATTTTCATTATGTGTTCAATCCGAAAAAGCATACTTGAAAACCCTAAAATTGTTTCTGTAGTCTGAATATTGTCAATTGGCCTGCATTACCAAAGTTTCGAAATGACGGGTTTCGAAGTGACGCGGAGCCTCTATTTCAAACCACTCGTAAAATGTCAAATACATTGTACGTTAATCAACCAAGTATTGTGAACGGATTGAAGTCTTTCGCATGTTTCTCCTATCATTTCTTCACACGTTCAGTTATCATTTCTTCACACGTTCAGGGTGGATGATCTAATTAGCGTAAATGAAAAGTGGGTAAACTGCTCTAACAATGTGAGGAAGCGTCAGTTGATTGACGAAGATCCGCTAGCTCTGGACATCCCGAAACCCAAATTTCACGTGAAAAAGGGGATTCGTTGTGTTTGATGATCTGTCAGAGGAATGGAGGCTGGGAACTTTTAGATGAAGGTCTCATTATAACTGCCGTCTCGTATAGTTCCTAATTAGAAAATTGAATTTGGCAGTTGAAGCAAATCAACAAAAGTTCACATTCAACGCGACAATGCGAGATCGCTTGTGATCAGAGGGATCAGCCAAAAATTCAAGTCGCTTGGCTGAACTATTATTCTGCACCCTCCGTGTTTTCCGGAACTTGCCCTTTCAAATAAATGATCTTTCGGTGATCTTAAACGTCATCTTGATAGCAAAGACTTCAATTGAAAAGATGACCCCAAAAATGAGTTGGCTCACTTTTTCAATCGCTGCTCTCCTCGTTCAGGTCCCATGGAATCAAGAAATTACCGGAGCGTTGGCAGACAACAATGCGGCGATGGCTGTACGCAGAGTGAACACTAATAGAGAATCACACACTGTTGCGACAGAAGCCTACCGCATCTCCAAAAAGCTCAAATAACATTCAGGATTACTCTTAATAGACCTATACTGATTAGAACCTTTCAACTCTTATTTTATTTTCCCAAAAGGATTTTGGAGACATCTAGTTCAAGATAAATGAGTAACTCGTACACAAATCACATGCGACAAGATTCTAGTTCCTCTATAATTATAATCACTTTTTTTTATTTTTCAGTTCATTCATCTTTTGGTTAGAAGGATTCGCAGAGAATGAGTTGTCTTGATTCGTTGGTAACTATTACTCGAGTTTTTTCTTTGGTTTTGTCAGCGACTTGTTTCATCTTTTATCTGATTATATTGGTTTTTGCATGCCGACTTTTCAAAAAGTTTCATGTGTTTTTCATGTAAGTTGCTTCAGTTTCGATCCATATTTTGTGACAACAAGTTATAATTTCAGAGTATTTTACATATCAATGATCTTCACTCGTTCAGTAGCTATTTTCATTAGAGCTTGTGGATACTTTCTGGTTTTGTTCCGAGAGGAAGGAGTCCCTTCCGAACTTCTTGATGTTCTATGGATCGCCAAGTTTGCTGCTCAGGCTGCAGCTCTTTGTTGTATACTAGAGAGAAGTTATGCTACCTTCTTTGCCAACAACTACGAAAATTTCAAACGATGCAATTTTATTGTAGTTTGTATTTTAGCTTGTGCAAGTTCTTGCTCTTCCAAGCCTTGTTATAAACTTTGTTTCATTTCAGACCGCCTGCTCCGGATTGTCATACATAGATGCCAGTAGTGATTTAGGTCGCAAAATCCATTCATTTGGTTACGGTATCTTTTTTGTAGTTGTAAGTTAATCTTTTGTTATTCCTAGAGTTCTTTTTTCTTGTTCCAGACAACGACAATGCTAATTAAGATCAACAGACGGCTGGTGAAAAAGTCGTCAGCGGGAAAGTGCAGACTATCAGAGAGGTATCAATTAGCGGAGAATATCAAGGCTCTCCGGTGAGTTCGATGGTTTCTAAAGCTTTCGCGTGATTAAAGAGAAATTAGTAATGCGCGTTTTCTAAATGAACATATTGAGCTCTAACTGAAAAATTTAGGTAAATCATGCTTGTAAGCCAGAACTGCCATAGTTTTCTTCAGAATCAACATATTCGGATCAACTATATTAGATATGATAGAACTTGACGAGTACTACAAAATGATACTATTTGGAAAACTGTATCATGCCTATGAACGAAGTTATAAGTAATAGAAGGGCTGAATCGGACCTGTTCTGGCCCTGCCTGTTTTTTTTCGGCCAGTTTCGTCAGTAACGCAGTTCAGAGATACAGTTTTCCAAATTGAATCATTTTGTAGTACTCATCGAGTTCTATCATATCTGATTGGTCAAAAAATATTGATTCTGAAAGAAGCAATGACAGGGCCACGAAGACCAGCCAAGGGCCAGGTTTACAAATGTAAATTTTTTCCAGGCTCCTCGTTCCATTTGTACTTTCCATAACTGGCAATGCGATCATGTTATCAATTGGAATTATCTTTTTCAATGTGGATACTGTCTTCAGCCTTCCCGAATGTCGCCTAGTCCCTTCATATCTTCCAGTCTTCTATTTAGTTCTGATTGTTCGTTTATTTTCAGAATGACGCCTGTTGTTTAGATCTATTTTCAGACAACTACAATTCTCAACTTGGCTGCTCCTCTTTACGTACTCTATCATAATCGCAAAACGCTCCAAAATCGAAAAATTGGAGTTTCGGAGGTTAGTTGTAGATGACGTTATGATGCTATCGCACAGGCATCATCACGTCACTGTAAATTCTATTCTCATTTCAACCTAATTTTATTAAGATTCGAAACGTGCTCGGCGTGAATATTGTCGGTAATGGAGTGGCGGAAGACAAAGAGCAATACTTTCAGCAATACAGGAACCAGTGGGCCTGATGTCGTGTGGAGCATACTCAATGGCGCTTTTTTGGCTCATCTAATTAGGCGACGGCTCACCATCCATACAACCCAATTCATTTGAGCTAGGACAGACACAAAGAAGTACAGCTCAAATGACGTGGGTTTTAGATCAAAACGATTGGAAACAAGTAGTGGGCGGACGGACGGACCAATACACACACAAATTGGGTCGAGCTGAATGGAAAAATGAATGCTAAAAGAGTCGGCCAGCACTCACTTTTTCTCGCCCATTCACTTTTTTTTCTTCCACCTACACTGTTGCTCTTCCTGTTTCTTTTTGTGTCTTCAAAGACCCCACTCATTTTTTTTTTGAAAAAAAAAACAATTTATGTTGCAAAATGTTTCCAATTGGTTTTGTTTCATTCTGGTACACTCTCTTTGAATCGGACTAGAGTGCAGCAGGTAAAGTGAGTTCATTTCGAATTCAATTCAGAATCTGCACGTGGGTGTTGGATAGAAAGAATAGAGGAGAAAGAGGCATTGTTCTAGAAGGATTACTGTAGATTTGAAAAATAAGTTATGTAGGACATAACTCAAAGCTGAAAACCAAGGCCAATGGGCAAAAGGCTTTGCTTGAGAAACGGCTTAAGACGAGTTTTTCAATAAAACGAGTTTTTCAATAAAAATCCGAATTTTTCAATAACGGCAGGCCTGAATTCACAAACTTCTGAATTTCTAAGGTTTCGAAATTGCTGAATTCTAAATTCTTGAAAATTCGAATTTCCCCATTTCCCAAGGTTTTCAAACCTTCCGAACTTCCCTAATTTCAGGATGACTAAATTTTTGGAACTCTGAAGTCCGGGATATTTGAATTTCCGAGAAATCTGGATTTTTCGATAGCCAAAATATTTTAATTTCTGTGCTTCCATTTTCTGAATTCCACGCTTTTGAACTTCCAAAATTTTGAATTGTCAAGATTTCACAGGCTTCACTGCCAATTCTAAATCACACTGAAAATCTAGGGCTGAAGTCCTAAAACGCTAAATAAAAATTATTTTGCTTGTTCCGGATATTGATTCCGAATATTTTTCCACCACTTGTTTCGATGAATCTACAAAAAAAGATCCCCCGCGGAAATTCCTTTTGACAAAAAGTGGTCCATCGGTTGACCAGATGTTCCCTAATATTTGTGATCCCTTCACTCCGCACAGCATAATTAATCGGCTGATGATGACACCCCGATGCAATACGTTTCCGTGATTTGGGTCGTGTTTTTTTTTTCAAATTTTAATTTTGTTTACCTCTCGATGTTTACTCTCGGATCTTTGGAAGTTTCTTTATGATGTGCTGACATCGGAAATATTACTGGAGATAACCTTAAACGACATTTAATAATTCGATCCTGGTATGAGAAGAGTGCATCTGTGGGGAGGAAGTGTTGAATTTTTTATTTCTCTATATTCTCCCTTGCAATTTTTAGTCAGAATCCTACAAAAAAAAAAACAGAAGAGTGAGTTTCGTCAAATCCGGATTTTCGGTTGTTTTAATACTTTGAATACCAAGTAGATCAGATTCTTAGCTCTAATCCAAATCATCCTCTGATCTGCTTCATACCACGAGCTGTTTTGACTTGATGAGCTGTAGAATACATGTACCCTAATCCAAATCCAGATCAGATCCTGATTTGCCAAGTCGACAGTTTTCGGAATGCTCCTGTTGCTCCCTCTTTCTACCCCCACACACAATCTTGATAAAGTAGTTCGGAGAATATGGAGACACACATCACGTCACACACCTTGTCATCTGAATTCATCATTGTCTGTCAGCTAGTTTTCTATTTATTTTTGGATTTCATTGTTCCAAATTTGGAAAGAAAAAATCCGATTTTTGAATGTCGGCGTCAGCATAATTGAACAGATTCTGAATTTGGATTTTCAAAGATGATGAGAGGATGATGATGATGGGGAGAAACAATGATTTAAAAATTCTCTGACCGACAGGTCAGTTTGCATTTAATTCCACATCGGTGCACATGCAATTGTAGGGGAAAAATAGAGAGCAACAATTTGTCGTGTCTCCATCCGGAACTCCTACGCTAACGTTGTTCAAGTGACGGGACCCTCGCGGCAGATTCCTAGAACGGGCGGTATGAAAACATAACGAGTATTATTTTTTTAGGTTTTGAAAATAAAAGTGTAGGTGTTGAATCGAATGATTAAGTAGGGGAAGATCTATGTACTTCTAAACGTTGTCTGCTTCGGAAGTTTGGAGATCAGAAGTCGATCGGTTCAGGAGGATCAGAGTGCACTGGTAAAGCTAGGAAGGATATCTAAAAACGTATTACTTCGTTTTTATCTTATCCGTCTGAGGCGGATTCAGCGGACGCAAAATCTTCTCTCTTGTTCGACAGAAACGGTTTTTGACGCTTGGGGAGTCTTTCCGTTTACCCGATAAGTTTCCGAATCAAGAAAACATTGACTCTTTTTAGGTGCTCCGCTCCACGGAAACCGTTTGTTCGTAGTCTGATAGACTATCTACACATTACAAGTCGTTCAAAAATCATCCAAAAGCAAGAAGTCAAAGGTCTTGACAAAATGAGTAATTGTTTCCAGCTCAAAAATAAGTCAATGAGTAATTTTATACAGTTACACTGATGACGTAAAATCATACTTTCGCCCTCCTATCACTCGAGCCCACACACTTTTTCTGACGACAATCAGTTTATCAGTGAAACTGAAGTATGTCTCGATTTTTCATCAATAATTCTATGAAGGTTGGTCTCTCTGGTCAGAAAACAGAGACGAATTGTCAGCAATGTTCTGTAGCATGAACTTAAGTAGTCTTTTTTTAAAAAGACGAATGAGTAATTTATGATTGGGTCAGAATGTACAGGGTGGCCGATAATGATAGGACGTTTTTTTTGAGAGCTCCTTGGCCCGGCGCCAAAGAATAATTTTGAAAACTTTCGAAACTAATAGAAAGTAGGGACCCTCTATAAGCAGTGATTTATATCATTTGGTACCATTTTGTTTTTTGTTCAGAATTATGAAGACTTCTCCACACCAACCCATGATCGCGACTTTTCTCGAGATGGGGTGCACGTGTTGATGTGGCTAGAAGACTTGGAGTTTCTTCATCAGGTGTCCGAAATGTTTTTGAAAATATCCAAAAGGATCAGAGGAACCTACTAAAACAAAAATTAAGACCACCATTAACTTTGAACATTCACCAGACTCGGGGAATCTCAAACGTCAAATTGAGCAAAAAAAATGGGGTTTAGCCTTGGTATTGCATGGTCCAGAGTTCAAAAAATCGGAACATAGGATTTAAACACTTGCAGCTACTGTATCTACCGCAAACTGTTCCTTTCTTATACATCCGGGGCCTGCAGACGCGAAAAATGCAAAAAACTATTTTCACACCTCCACCTGCGGCGGGTGTCAGGCGAGATCTAGGGTGACGTAATGAGTTTCCCTGATGAAACTCTTCCGAGCCGTCGGGATCAGGGACAATTGTTACCAAAAGATGACAACGAATCTCCTGAACGTATTTTATCTTCAAATTGCCTTTCCGTAAAAATTTCAAAGTTTGGGATAGAATCACGGCAACCAATACTAATTTTTTGGTTTTTGGTGAAAATCAGCTCGCAGGTCTACCGAATGACAGTTTTGATGCATAATTTGTTGTCCTGGGCCACTCAGCAGTTTGTTGGACATATTTAAAACCATCTGTAAGACTCAGCACCGTCTTGTAGATCGAAATCCACAATTGCGGTCTCAGACGCTCATTTTCCTAGAAAACTCGGCTACGATTGGGGGCCCTCTAACTCCACGGATTTCAGTCCGATGGACTTTAATGTATGGAATCTTTTGAAGAACAAGATCTCAGGAATCTCCCACTGTTTTTTGGACTTTCTGTAAAGTCCATTTCAAAAGTTCTAGGGCGACTTTGACGTCAACTACAGTCGCCGCACAGCCAAATTTTTTATCATGCGTTTGGAGGCTTCTGTCAAAGCTCGTGGTTCTAATCATGACTACTTGTTATAAAACTAAAATTCTTACATATTTTGAATATTTTGATAAAGTTATTACAGTCATAAAACGTTTTTCTAAAAAATGGGAGACGTTTAGAAACGTCCTATCATTATCGGCCACCCTGTATATGTTTCTCTTTATGAGTACTATATGTGTCAGTACCGTAGATCCATATGAAGGCTGTGCAAGTTACGACCGCGGTCGGCCGCGACTGACCTAAATCGTGGGTAGCTTGCATTGGACCAATCAGCCTGTTCTTTAGAAAATACGCTCACTATCAGTGTCTCAGAAACCACTAGGACCGCTAGGCCGCCATATCCTACGCATTCCCGAAGTATCATAATAAATGAATGCGGCCGGAGGTCGAACAGTCTCGATTTATATCTTTTATGATCGTCAATTCCTTCGAGGTGAACTGTCATCTGAAGATCTGAAAGTCTCCTCCACCAAACATTGATCCATTACCTCCGGTGTCCGGATGTTGCCTACGTGAATTTCCAGTCAAGAATTTTCCAGATTAGTAACGTGATTTCGATCAAGTTCTTGACTGGAAGTGCAATTCTTGGGAAAAAAAGGAAATTAATAGTAATAGAGGAATACAAACACGGAATTGTCGTCGTTTTTTCACCTTCGTCAAGTGATGTGATTTTCAGAGGGTGGCGCTAATTCAAATTCAAATTTCCGGACGTCTTATTTTCCCGGTACTACTAGAAATGATTCCCGTAGTGATCTGTTGTCAGAGACAACAAAGTTCTTTTTTGTTTTGTGTTTTTTGTGCTCCTCGTTAAATTGGCCACTTCTCTTTCGATTCATGTTAATTGAATAGAGAAAAAGGAATAAAACATAAGGAATGCGTGTCATTGCGACATCCTCTCTCCTTCAGATGACGTGCCTCCCACCCGGAGCGGCGGCGACGACGAAATCGACGTCACAAAAGATATGGAGACGCAGAATTTCAAAGGGATACGCTCGCTTTCGCTACAACGGACCATTAATTTGGGTGGGAGCAAAAAATTGGAGAGTAGTCCCGAAAGTGGGCATCCGAGCAAAAAAAGTGAGAGATAGAAAAAAGAAGAGCAAGTGGACACAAGTAAATGATGTCAGAAAGAGGAAGTGGGTCAGATCAGATCATCATTTTTGAGCTGTTTCCAAAAAAGTAGATCATCTAATTACGTAACTAATTAAGAAGTCAAAGAACATAACTTGGTTTTTTGAAGGGAAAG